TATATACTTTAAAACAGTTTTTAGATGAAACAAATCGGACTTATAGATCAAGCTCGTGGCTTGAACTTAGATTGGCAAACATTGTTTCGAGAAAACCGCATTGAAAGCTTTTTGAAAGTTCGCAGCGTGTCTCACCCAAGGTGTGTTCGAGTAGCAGCCATTTGAAAAATATTCATCATATTAAAAAAATTCCTTTAAACACATACTCTATAAATATATGACGTTAAGATTTTGCGTAAAAAAAAACAGTTTTTTGTGTCCAAAATCAGGGGAGGATCCCCATAAGTTTTACGAAAAGCTTGAAGAAAAGTTCAAGTTGAAAAAAGCTCAATTTTAAAAGTCAACAGACTTTTAAGCTCTATAATCAAATCGCCATCGGAGATATTTTGGAAAAAGTGATAATTCTTTTGATATACGTTTTTTTCCTATTAAATTGTCATACACAAAATAACGGTATATTTTTTTAAAATTCTCAAACGCCATATACATATATATATACATATTTACACTTGCATAAACATAGATCACAAATCGCTTTCTTCAAAGCCACATCTGTTCATTTAATGTTTTTCTGCTACCAACACCATAAACACAGCACGATCAGCGCTGCCACCAACAACAACACCAACAACAATACCAACAAGAACATCATCATCATCATCAAAAAGATCATCGTTTAACGTCATTTCAATTACAAATCAATTGAATTGATAATGTTAAATGAATTATTTATATACGAATATGGTGGTGGCAGAATATGCAATAGAGTGCAAACGAAAAAGAATTAATTATACATTAAAATACATGTACGACCACATCTGTATGTATGTATGTGTGTGTTTGTTTAGCAACTTGCTGTTACACTTAACCAAATTTAGCAATTCAAGTAACGAGCGAGCAGCTGGTGAAATTTTATCTCTGTTGTTTTAGGCCATAATTGTAGTACAACAACAATAATAACAACAACAACACAACAGCAATAACAACAACCGACAAACAAACAAGCAACAAGAACATGTAATATACATATATACAGACATTGTATATACATCTGAGCACTTGTTGCTGTTGTTGTTGTTGTTGTTGTTGTTTAGTGTGGGAAAAGAAAGAAGAAATGTTTATTATTAGATATGTTCGCAGAATCTTATCGAACTGAACTCTTTGGAAATCTTTGATCTACAAAACTGTTAATAGCCGCTTTTTGCCAAACACAGTGAGTGCGCTGCTGGTGGTTGTGGGTTGTTGTTGGGTTTAAGTTTAAGTTTTCTACGCTTAAGTGGCGGTTAATGGTTAATAATGGCAGCTAATAGTTAAGTGAAATCACCTGTAATTTATACATATGCTTGCATATATACGTACATATGTACATACATTGATATACGTAAATATGTAACATACATACATCCATTTATATATATATATATATATAGGCTTGGTGGTATGGGAGTGTAAGCGCAAATGCGCGGCTTATTAATTAGCGGTACTTTAACTAAAACACTTACAGGCTTTCGGCTTTCTGCGTTGCAGTTTTAAGGTTAATTTTTTATTTTTATTTTTAGAGCAACACAGTCATTCATTTTTTTTTATTTTTTTTATTGGGGGCTCATCTCAGACTGCTTTCTGCTTTTCTTAATGGATTTTGGGTTTTCTGAAAATTTTTTCTACACGAAATACATAGTAAATTTAATTTATATATATAATATATATATATAAAAAATATACAAATTAAATTCATATATATATATATAATTGGCGCTTTGTAACCGCTGAAGCGATTTTTCGGCTGAACTCCTCCTACAATTTGTGGTTTTGTGTCTTGATGTTCTTCCAACAAATGGAGGTACTAGCAGTTTATACTAAGCCGCCTCCGTACGCCTGATGGTTTTTTTATGAGTATCTTTTGATTTTCATGTCCGAAATACACGCGAAGGGATGGACATGCCCTGCCGAGGGGCGACCGCAACTAAGAAATTTTGCTTAATTTTTCATTTAATATAATTTCCTTTTTCTATGACTATTCGGATGTTACTACGATATCAGGATTTGAGCCCGAGCCTTCAGAATGACTGTACGCAATGCTAACCACTCGCTTATAGCAAAAGATCTTTCAAAAATTAAAATTATCTTTTTATTAAGATTTTTAAGGTTTTGAAGGTTAAAAAAAAAACTTAAAAAAATTTAAATGTCCCTTTAAACTTTTATTTATAGTCAAAAAATGTTTTTAATCTGTCTGGGGAGAAATTTTAAAACTCCACTTTTTTCCCCACAGGTTTTTTTTTTATTAAAAACTTCAATCTAAGTTTAAAGGTAAATATATTCATTTTTCTCTACTACATATTTTTTAGGCGGATTGCTCACTTTTCTATTCTTTTCTTCCAAAAGTTAAAATAATTAATGAACGGAAAAAGATTTTCAAAAAAAAAAAAAATAAGAATAAAAAATTAATAAAATGAAGACGTTCCGAAGCCTCTACACCTCCCAGGAAAATTTATAAATTTATGGTATCTCATTATATATTTTCTCATATCTGCAAAACCGGTTAAATGGGGGCTATGATTTTCGGTGACAATATATATTTGATTTTACTTGTGTAGAATACCAAATCATACGCTATTAGAATCATATTGGAAGGAGTTCAGACCAAAGCGTCACTTCTCAACAAATCGGTATATGGCTTAATATAATTGTATGTTAAATACGAAAATTCTCACTCTCATCTACATTTATTTCATTTCTGACCCAAAATCCCAAACTATAAAAATCGGTTGTATATATACTATAGTCGTCCAATCTGTGAATGTGATAGGCTAAGCGTATGTAGATCTGTTAAATCTATCATCGAAAATACCTGAGAAAAGAGAATCAGAAACCACCAACTTTTCATTGATTTTAAAGCAGCCTTAGAAAACACTAAAAGGAGCTGCCTCTATGTCACTATATCTGATTCGGGTATCCCTGTCAAATTTATATATACGAGCATATATAATTGGTGCTTTGTAACCAGTTAAGCGATTTTCAGCCAAGCCCCTCCTCCAATTTATTTATTTATATTTTTTGTGAAGATTTTATTTTGAAGCCTGATTTTAAAGCAACCTCACTTCATTGACTTATTCATAACTTTTACTAGCAAATTTCATTATAAAAGCCCAAAAAGCGATCTATTGTCTTTTTACCGCTGTTCGCCGAAATTTGGTCAAAACTCTTTATTAAATTTGTAAAACTCAAAGCAAACAGAGAATAAAAAAATTAAGCAAGCAAAACTTAAGCAAATATTAGCTGACTCATTTGGCAACAAACAATTTCACTACTCCACCAATTTACAAGGTGATGTTACAATTTCGACATTGTGATTCTATTGTTTGGCTCAAGGCAAAAGGAAAGTATATTTAAATTAGTAAATTGCAACTACATATATTTTTGCGTAGCTTAAAAGAGAGAAAATATATAAGAAAAAGTTAATTCTCAGTAAACGATAAAAAAAAAAAATAAATTAAAGATATAAAATAAAATAAAATAAATTAAAATAAAGTAAAATAAAGTAAAACAAAATAAAATAAAATAAAATAAAATAAAATAAAATAAATTAAAATAAAATAAAGTAAAATAAAATTAAACAAAATAAGGTATATTAAAATAAAATAAAATAAAATAAAAAAATAAATTAAAATTAAAAGAAAAGAAGTAAAAAAACCCAAGCAGCGAAAATAAATGTGTCAAATGTCCAGCGATTAAATATTCAAATGGCGAGCGCACCAAATATTGCATGGCGATTTATTTATGCTTTATATTGCTCAACAAATACAAGTAATAACTTTTGTAAATATGTATGTATGTATGTATTTATTTGCAAATATACGTACACTGGCTCGTACGTGCCTATGTGTTCATAAATTTTACTCTCTTTTGCACAACAACGTGGCCGCACGCATGCTTTCTCTCACCCTCCCAAATATGCTTTTGATGCGTAAATATTTTACTTTGGTATATCCATTCGCATTGCTAAAGAAAGTGAAACTTTTTTAGTATATACATACATACATACAAATTAATACAAAAGAAGAGCTACACTAATACTTTATGGACAAGCACATGTGATATATAAAAAAGGAGCGCAAGTGAAAAATATGTGTAAAATAAAGAAAAAATGTGAAAAGGGAAAAGTAAAAAAGAAAAAAAAAAACAAATTATAAATGCTCTTATAAACAGAAGTGGAAATGATTGCGTAGTCATGCGGCGTAAAAGCTTGTAGCTGCTGCACATTTGTGTGTATCTATATTTGTATGTGTGTATAACTTTTGATTATTTTGATTTTTGTAATTTATATGCACGTGATAACGATTGAAAGGCCAAGCGTTGGGTGTAAGTAAAAATATTTCACTTCAGTAAAAGCATATTTAATGACAGGCAGAAAACATGAAAATTATTTTTAGATACAAATATGTAATGATGAAAGTGAGTTGAACGTTGGCAATGCGATATCTGAGATAATTTAGAAGAAGAAGAAGAATAGATGTATCGATAGAAAAAATGAAAATAAAGCAGAAAAATACTTTAATATTTTATTTTGAAAAGCTCAGAAAATATTATTCAAAATTCAATGTAAGACATTTAAAGGAATATAATTCAATTAAATTAATAAAAATAATAGTTGCAAGAAATTATTATTTTCCCAACTCATTTGCAATAATTACAACCCATTTAATCATTAACATTAAACATAAATTTATTTTAAACACTCTCAGCACTTCCTTCGCACTCAATTCCTCACTTTACTTAAAGAACAAAAGACTTAAGCCACAAACCTGATTTCAATTATTCAGTTAAAAGCAAATTCAAGCACAAATCTTACACTTATGTGTGTATACATATAAATATATATTTGTATAAATCTTCATTACGAAAGTAGCGTGAGAACTTTCATTTGCTTCTTGGTCTGTGGGGGGTGTGTGTGTGTGTTAGTTGTGTGAAAGTCTTTCAAAATTCTCATGTTTTTTACTTACAATTAACGTTTTCGATATTTTAAATCGTTTATCCATATTTATATATTCCATTGTGTTTTCGTTGTTGTTGCTGCTTATTTATTGTTGCCGTGTTTGCTCCTACTGCTGTTAATTATTGTATACGGTGTTATTACTTTATTATTAACACTTGCTTTGTTCGCTTGTTAATTTATTTTTATTAATACTTTTTTTCAATAAAAACTATTAATTGTTGTATTTGTATACACTACTACGTGATTTTTCGCAGCCTTTCTTCATTAGCTGTACAAGTTTTCATTTTGCTATTAAATATGTCTTATTTAAACAACACTATTTTGAAAAAAAAAAAAAAAATTTATTTTTCATTTTTGTTTGGACTTAAATAAATTATTAATCAAATAGTTCATTCATTGATGTTTCAACTAGCACATATTTATTTTATTTTTTTGAATTTTTTTTGTTTTATATTTTACTTTTTTTATTTAGAAAAAACTTACTTTCCTGGTGGGAAATATCATATAAATTTTTTTTTTTATTATTGAGTTTCAAACCAAGAAATGCTCAAAGAATTTTCTGCAAATTCCAAATTTTATGTAACAAAATAATAACATGATTTAATGTAATATGTGACATATGGTCTCCTCGCTGCCCGTGTGATGAGGTACCCTCATGGGAGGCAAACTGTATTGTTTGCTCATCTCCTGTAGAGATTGGAATTTAGAGTAAGCCAGCAATTTTATCACCGCTTACAGTTGCTGAAGAAAGGATATCCCAATCTTTAAAGCTGACTTCTACTTGCTTTACTGCCTTCATAATAGCCGATATCTCCACCTGAAAGACACTGCAATAGTCAGGTAGGCTTAAAGTTCAGTGCGGGGATTCGTAAGAACATACCACCAGCAACTCTGCTCTTTAGCTTTGATTTTCTATCCCTGTATACTTCCGCATTATTCCAATCTATCCTTCTGTCCTACTGAGGATCCGTGTTCTGAAGTAATCTTCAGTAATATCAGATGCATTGCACAACCCCATTTAGTTTTGTATAGAGGTTATATAAGTATCCTAATAGATAAGTCCTGCATTGGTTTGTTGCCAACTGATATACTAACAAGCACAGTGAAATGATATTGTGATAGAAATACCTCCCTCTGCGGGAGAGAGGGTCAGGAATTGACCGTGGAAAGATGTGTCTGTCGTAAGAGCCGACTAAAATCCAAAAATACCTGCACCAGTTGGGTCCTTATACCGGAGCGATCCGAATTTTTATACGGTCAAGGATATTCATTTCCGCAATATTCTCCGAAAACCACTTCGGAGAATATTTTGCGGTGACAATCACACACAAGATATTGAGTATTTTATGTAGAATCGTTATCGTATCTTTAAACTATGTTATGTCTTCAGCTTAAACTCTTTGATAAGGCCACAACGAGTAGACCAGCCTAGTGCCTTTCTAAATGTTCTCTGCATCATGTCACATAGGGTTTGCGGAAGCCTGCTTCCGTTTGCTATGGCGTTATCATTGATGTAGGCAATGACTTTGCCACCACTTCGGACCATTCGTGTTAAAGACAAGTGAACTGTGAGGTACCAAAATAAAGGGATGAAAACTCGATGCCTAGCAGGTTCTTGGCAAACTGCTAAACAGCTGTTGGTTGACAAAATCCACCTAGGAAATTCCGACACTTAAACTCTCTCAAGTACTTAGTAGTAAAAGACGTATACATCTGGAAAGACAGTAAGTCAGAATTCCTTATTATAGAAAGGTCTTTCAATGAAGGCTATGTAATGTAGTATCTATCTCTTCTCCTTTCTTATAGCCATGCTGATCACTTGAGAGCAGCCTCAAACCAATGATCCAGCATTTTCTAAGTTTACTCTACGCTTTTAGCCGGAAAAAAAGACCAATAGGTCTAAAATATTAAGGACAACTATGAAGCGGCATTGCGTATTACCACTCTGGAGGTCAGAGTTCGAGTTCTGCTGTGACCAATATCCTAAAATTATAGAAAAATATTATTTTTTTCTGATTGTGGTGGCCCCTCGGCAGGAAGGGTTAAGCCGTTGGAGTTATTTATGACATGGCATGACATGGCTTTCACAACAAAAAGAATATTTTCAACGAGCACAATGGTACTTTTTTATTTTTTTTTGCATAATATGGCATCCGTTCCACATTAAGTCTTGAGAAAATGTAATAAATAGATCAAAATTGTATTTAAGTTTTGTTTATCATCTGTGGCGTCTGAATAGAGAAATATATCGCTAACTGTGTCCAACATTCAGTCGACATAATCGTCCAGCCGAGCCGGTAGTTCGATCAACCACGGATCCTTTCTTTTTTACGACGAACCTGAGGCGAATACCTGTGTCAGTGCGGACTGCCTTGAACCCGAAACCGTTCGCAGAAGGTGGTGGTTTCACTTGCCTCTTACACTAACCAGCTACAGATTTGTTCATCACTTGCTATAAAATGTCATGGGAAAAAAGAAAAGGAATTTACTTAATTATTTACAGCACTCAGTAATTAAGTCTTGATACAGAAAAGCGAGTCAGAGGTGTCAATGTTGAGGAAATGTGTAATAAAATCATTACACAAAGATGCATTTCAAAGGTTATTCTGCATGAACACAATGAAAGGGACCTAAAGTGTCTAAATGATTTTATAGGGATGTTAAAGTCATAACTTGGTAACACCTCTTATCAATTCAGTTAAAAATAAAGCTCGAAGTAGGCAAATTAATGAGCTCTAAACGACTTTTGTAAGGAGGGAGACTCTTATACGCAATCCAATTTAAACATCTTAATGCAAATAGGAGGAAATGCTTTTGCACAGATTCCAATTTATCATTATACAATTGATAGTGCGGACTCCATACAACTCAGCCATATCGGGTCCAACAGGTGAGGTAAAGAGTAATTTGGTAATGTAAGGGTCATTAACTCCGCGCTTACTCTAGAGAATAATGCACATCCTCAGACACGCCGTACAGTACACACAGAAGACGTATGCTACTGTGGGGTAGAGCATCGAAGAAGAACCGCATGAGCTCTACTTTATGGAAAATTTTGCGGATAGATCTTTGCTTTGGCGGCTTACAAAATCCAATGCGTGGGAAAAAATGAAGCCAAACAATATCATATTCGGTAAATATACCCAAATCGTGATGTCCACCGATGCCGATTTTTACAAAACAAATTTCTTTAGCGATGAAGCTCCCTTTGGTTAAGATGGGTAAAATAATAAATACAATTTTCTCTTTCATATATACATATATATAATATATATATAAGCGCTGAAGCGATTTTGGGCCGACAAGCTATTATTGAGACTCCAAAAAAAGCATTTCATGTTTCTTTAAAAATGAATGCGTTCATAATATTATAGTTAGTGGGTAGCGCTATAGAGCTATGATTAATGACTTTTTCGTGCCTGAATTGAAGGATGTTGATGTGGACGCCTTTTGGTTCCAGCCGAGCGATACTGCACGCGACACAGCCAAAGAAACAATCAATTTATTTGTAGGAAAGTTTTGGTGAGTGCATTATTTAACGCCGTAGGTCTGTGGCATGACATCGAGATCGTGCGATTTACCCTCACTAGACTTTTATTTGCTGGGGTTATGTGAAGTCGCCTGTCTAGGCGGATAAGCTTGATGCGTTTTATGCCTAATGGAAGAGAATATTCGGCGCATGACCCCCATTGCTGTAAAAAGTGGTCGAAAACTCGGCAAGTCGGCTGGAATAAATTCAATCCAGAAAGTCACTTGCCGGAAATCACTTCTAAGGCATTATTTCAAACACTTAACAATGTAAAAAAGTAAAATTTTTGGACATCACATCGTACTCTATGCATTTTTTTTCTTATTGAAAATCTCATTGAAGAAATGCACGTTGTATTTTACATGTTTCGCAATATTTTCATAAAGTGTGGAGCAAAATAATTCTTTTTGCTATTGAAAATTTTCCACTTTTTTCTGATTGAAGTTTCAAAAATTATTGAATTTCGTCATAGAAAAATTATATGAAAGCATTGAATTATTATTCATTATTATGCATTTGTTTAAAGTAATTAATATCTCATATTTACTTTTAAATCGCATGCTATTTTTTTTTGGTATGCGATTTAAAAACAATATTTTTATTAGAAAAAAATCAGTTTTTTTTATAAAATTTGTTAAATTTTTTTTTTGTATTTGAGCATAACACTGCTATACCGTTAATTTATATTTATTTTTAGCGCATAATTTTCATTTTCCAATTTATCTCACACACACACACACACACACAGTAAGCCACCAACACTTACATACTTAAAAAGCGAATTTCACCAACTTTTTGTTGTTATTTTTTTGTTACATTTTCAAATGCTACAGGTATTTAAAATTAATTTCACGGCATCACACATGCATATATACATATGTATTATATATACTATGTAGGTATATAGAATTGTGATATACTTTTAAGTTTGTAACTAAGCGCTTAGTTGCGTATATACATATGTATATGAAAATATATGTATAAATAGCGCCACCTTGATTCCCTTTTATGAGTATTTAATTTCTATAGCTTTCTTGTTGTTTTATTATTCTCTAATTTTTTTTTTTGTTGATGTTTTTATTTTTTGTGTGCTCCGCCGTTCGAGATTTCGAGACGAAAAAACACTTCCTGCTTAACTGCAGTTCACAGAATAAGCCAACAAATGGCAAAATGTAGTACGCGACGGACTACGGCTTTGGCTCAGAAGCACCGAAAACTCACATAAAGCAAAAAGAGAAGAAGAAAATCACGTTCACACGCTTGGCACTCACGTTTACAACTGCGCGCCGTACCAGCGGCGAAAACATCATCAACACCAAACAGCCAGACCGAGCCAGGCTGAGCAAGCAGCGCCAGCCGACAGACACAGACGGCGGCAGCAGAGACCATAAGCATGCATAAAGCAAGTGTGGCGAGGCGATGCAGCGGCTGGCTAAAGCTTAAAACAGAAGCAGCGGCAGCAGCAACAACAGCAACAACAACAACAACGACAACAACAACTGCAACAGCCAATAAGCCAACAAGCATGAGCATGAAGAAGAAAAAAAGCCTCAAACGCAAAACAGACAGAGACTCGGCTTCTCAGCTCAGCAAATATTAAGTGGCTCGGAGACAGTTAAGTGAGCGGTTGCGTTGGCTAATGCCAAAACGATTGGCAACAACACAGCGGCGTAGCGATAAAAGCAGCGGCAGCGGCAGGTAGGGGACGGACGGTGAGTAGTCGTAAAAAAGTGCGCTTCCTAACTAATGTCTGTCCGTCTGTTTGTCTGTGAGAGTGTTTGTCGGTGAGTGTGTGTGTTTGTATGTCTCCATTAATATCCACAGCGACTGTGTGTGTGTCTGTGTGTGTGTGTCTGATTGTGTGAACTTTTGTGTAGTATTAGGCGCTCGTGTTTAACAGTCGCATTTGAAGCCGCCGCACGCCGCCGTTACCGCCGCCGTTACCGCCGCCGTCACTCTTGTCTCCTACTCCTACTCCTACTCCCTCTTCACAGGCTTCTTTTGCCTCCCTATCGTCTGCGACGTCTATTTACTTTTTTCCCAGCTCATCCCATCAGCCAAGCAACCACTCATCGCTCGTCTGCAATTTACGCCAATGAAGGAAAACTTTTTCTTATTTATTATTCAGCAGCGGACAGCAGCGACAGAAATTTGGTGAAAAAAAAAGTTGTAGTAAAGTAAATAAAGCAACAGCAACAATAACAACGAAGTGAGTGAAAGAAAGCAATGTAAAGAAGAGACGCAAGTAAGAGAGGCGAGACGAGAAAAAAAAATTGAAGACAAACAAATCTCGTCTTGTTGTTAGCGCCGCTTTAGCGCTTTCGAGCGTTTGAGTAACGATTTGCCATATTTGTATGTATATTTAGTGGTTGTAATTGTTGTTGTAGTTAGTTGTTGCTGGCTGATGTTGCAATGCGTGTTTTATGGCTATGTTTTACTACTATTACTGTTGCGGCTGTTGATGATGCTACTTTTACTGTTACTACCACTACCGTTGGTTTGTCTGCTACCATTCCATTTTTTGCACTATTTCTACTACTATTTACACATATGACTAAATTTTTACTAACAATTTTTATAATTATTTCTATTAATCATCTTCTGTCAATAATGATCGCTTTTATTTCAACTAAAATGTCTACTACTAATTTTTTACTAATAATTTTCACTACTTTGCTTAGAATTAATTTTTTATGTTAAACTTTTACTACTAAAGTTTGCATTTTTTCGTTATGACCTGCATTTTCTTTTATTTGTATCACTAACTTTTTACTCAAAATTGTTTACTACTATTTCTACTACTAAATGATTACTTACTATTTTAACATTTATTTCTGCTCCTATTTCTTTCTTAACAATTTTAGCCACTTTTGTTAACTAAAATTTCTACTCCTAATTTTTTATTACCAATTTTTAATAATTTGTTACTATTAATTGTTTTTTACTACCTAAGTTTAGAATTTTTTGGCTACTATTTCTACTAATATTTTCTGTACTAAATTTTTACTACTATTTTTTTTTTACTAAATTTATCTAATAACACTTAACAACTTCATTATAATTTCTATAACATATTTATTACAACTATTTCTACTGACAATTTTTTCTAATAATTTTTTACTACTAATTTTCACAACTATTTCTAGTACTATGATAATTTTTTACTACCATTTTTTCTTCTACTCAATTCTTATTAATAATTTTTACAAAAATTTATACTACAAGTCTTTTACTACCAATCACTATAATTTCTGTTATCTATTGCTTCTAATAATCTTTAACTACTAATTTTTACTATAATTCTACTACCAACTTATACTACTATTTCTTTTGTTAATTTTTCCTAATAATTAAATATACTAAATTTTTACTAATAATTTTTTACCACTATTTCTACTACTAAATTTTTATTAACAATTTTACTAAACTTTCTACTACCAACTTTTTAACTATCAATTTTTACTATTATTCTTCTAACTGTAATTTGTTTTAACAATTTTTAACTCCTAAAGTTGATAATATTTTACTAGTTTTGTGCTCAAAAGTTTATGTTTTTTCACTTTCACTCCTTTTGCACAACTGATTTTCACCAATAATTTGCACAATTATTCTTCTTTTATTACTGTTACTACTCTTAATATTTATAAAACTCTTTTACAACAATTTCTGCTACTAACATGAACATACATACATACATATATTTATTACAACTATTAATTTTTTTCAAATAAGTCTTACCACTTAAGCTTATAACTTTCAGCCCTACAATTTTCATTACAAATTTTCAGCACTCTTTCTACTACTATTTTTTAATAGCAATTTTTCCAAATACTACTAATTCCACTATTTATTTCACTACCAATTTTCATTATTAATTTTTTAATACCAATTTTTTACTACCTCATTTCTCCTACTAATTCTCATTACTTAATATTTTTGCTCTTGATTGTCTTTTTTTGATATTTTGTTTTTATTTCTATGACCATTTTTAAATTTTTAGCTAACTCATATAAGAATTGGTTGTAGCAGAAAAAGTGTTTTTTTCTGCTACTATTTTTTGCTACTTTTTCTACTACTATTATTTTCTACTACTATTCTTCTAAGACAATTTATCATCCTACAGTTACAAGCTACTGCTTGTTCATTAAAGTTTTTAATTTTTACTTTTATACTACCATATCTACTACTACTACTATTATTTTTTATTACTGATTTTGCTACTATTATTGGTACTAATTTTATAACTTATTTGCAGTTGAAAAAAACTTGACTTTGTTTGTAGGTGAAAAAATGAAAAACAAATAAATAAGCAACTGCAGAAGTGAAGATGAACTAGCCGATGACTGATATGTAAATGTATGTAAGCACATATGTAGGTAGGTACATTCACACAGCCAGACAAACTAATGGCCAAGTTGTACAGACAGACAGACAGACAGACAGACAGACGGACCAGTCAAACGTCAGCAAGTTGACCATTGTGCAAGCGAGTCTGATAGACACATAGGAGCACTGATATATGTATGTACTTTAAAAACACAGGCTACAGCACAGCTGATGGGATTCGCTCAGCTCAAACTTTAAGTTACAAAAAAACTGTTTGAGTCTGCGCAGCGCAACTCTACACATTTTTTTCTATGCTACTCAGAGTATGTAATCCCTGAAACCCAAACGTCTCGCTGTGCCTTCGCTTCGCTAATCATCGCTTTGCACTCATCTCTTTTTTTTACATACATATGTATATACGAGTATGTATGTACATATCTATGTATTCTACACTGTTCACTCGTTTGTTTTCTTTTTTATGCTTTTCGCGCACACTTGCTATGGCCAAAGCGATTGCTGGTTCTGCTGCTCTTGACTGCCGCCGTGCGTTGTTGTGGTTTTCGCCGCATTAACACGCTCTAACGCGTCTGCTGCACGCTTTAGTAGGTCAGTAGTGGTAATTGGCGCGTCGTCGTCGTCGTTGTTGTTATTTTCTCATCTTCATTTTGATCAATCGTTTTAGTGTGTTTTTTTTTTGTTTTGCCTTTTTAGAATTTTTATTTAATTTAACTATTGATTTCGTTATTTTTTATTTCTATTTTTCAACTTTATTTTTTATCTTAATTTATTGTGCACTCAGCAATCCATAAGTCAAGTGCTTCAGTATAATTCGAAAACACTTTCATGCTCCGTTTTTATTTCCCAAATCAAATCTAATCTTCTTTAGTAAACTTTGTTAAGAATTAAACAATTTTTTTTTAAATCATCTTAAATGTAGGCAGCGTTTTTGTGAACTGCTGGAGGGAGAAACAGAACACCAAAAATGCAGTCTACTTTCAGGCACTTTATATCTTTCTTTAGCCAAGTCAAATACCTGAAAGGGGTGTTCAAAATTAATAAATGAATAAAATTGTAACCATTTCCGAAATTTTTACGTGAGACAAGTAACGAGCGAGCAGCGACTAACTCCTTTGAGCTATTGCTAACAAAGTTTAGCCACAGGGCCCTGAATCACCCACATGATAAGGCAGGACTCATTTAAAGCCAAAGCTTCCTGTGATGCTTTAGTAAGACTTGGAACATTGGCTAACACTCAAGCATTTGCTTTAAGTTCTATGTTACAAAGCATTCTGTATCCATGAAATCGAGTAAAAAGGACTCCTTTGGTTGGTTAGCGGATTGATGAGCAGGGGAGGGGAGCGTTCGCATGGAAGCAATTCAGTAGGCACATTGTGCCACACCCATATCTTAGCTCACAGTGAGCATTGTGAAGATCGTGACGACACAATCACTTTACTGACGTCAGTCTCGCCAGCGGAGTCTGTCATTAAGTTTTAAGCTACCTTCGTTATTGGGGAGGTCTCACAAAAACTTTGCTCTTGTGCCCACTTCCCATTCAGACCCATGTGTATAGTTATTGACTTCTTCAGTGTTACGGATGGCCTTTCCTTACGTCCATTGTTCTCTTGCGAAGGATCGAGGAGGTTGCTTGCATCTGACAACAGATTTCCTTGCTGAATGCTGTGTTTAGCCCGCGTTCTGTTATTATTTTTTGTATGTTGCCATGATCCGCAGAGTATACCCACTTGTGAAGGACTTTTGGGTCGCCATCGGTGTTAACGCGGTTTCCTCATCACTTGCCATACACATGTCCATGCCACACATGTTAGAGTAGCTATCTGCAACTCCTTAAGGGCAGTCTGTCAAAGCTCCACATCTAGGTTCAGAATTTCTTGAGTTGTCAAAGCATTTCACATTCACCGTGATCTTAATTCG